TAACAAAATTTGACCGAAGCATTAGTGGACTTGCCTAAAACATTGTAGGTACTTGACGTTTTTTCTATTAGAGTGATTATTGTTTAATGATTTTTGAATGTATTCGAAAATTACGAGAAACTATTCAATTCATACGGAAATTGTACAATGATAATTTGTAGATGTTTCAAAAGATGTTTTTTTTTCGTGTAAACCAAAGTATATAGGAAAGTAGTTGTTTCGACATGTCTTGTGTCTGAAAGTAACTTATTTGCAAAAACACTTTTCGTTCCTGGTGCAGGTGTTTTCAGTCGCAGACCCAAGACAGAGATATCAACCTGCCTAGGAACTTGTGCGACTGTATTTCAAGCGGAAATTTACGATATTCAGTAGCGTGCGGAGGGATTGGAAGAATCCCACCTCATATACAAGTCATTAAAAATATTCTCGAACAGTCAAGGGGCGTTGGAAGCTCTTGGCTCCTACCGAGCAACGTCTAAATTGGTAGCAAATTGCCAAAAACGAATCACTTGCAAAGGAGGCTGCTACAAGCAGCTTCACCGGATCAAAACCTGTCACCTGTATAACAAGAAGATGTATGGACTTCTTGCAGAATCTTCCAGAATTGGCTCACTTCAAGGCGTTTATTCGCCCTTCGAAGCTTGATACCAAACAGTTCTTTGGTCACTTCTTACAGGTCACTGTCATTTGAATCATCATATACAGACTCGGACTGTCGGAAAACAGTGTGTGTCGCCTCTGTTTGAAAAATGATGAAACAGCAGAGCACATACTTTGTGCCTGCCCCAATGGGGACCGAATCAGGCTTTTAGAGTTCGGCAGAGATGTACTCTTATGACCTGAAGGATAACTCACCATACAAACTAATCGGCTTCGTCAAAAAGCTGGGTTTATTTGGTCGAGTGTGAATAGGTGTGAGCCACAATAAACCCTTGCGAGTTGCGGTGGAGGGTCGAATAGACCCACTCACCTTGGACCTAACCTAATCTACTCATTTGTATAATATACATTTATTTGTGGAAGATGTATTCTGGAATTAACTGCTTTTTTTCATTCTTTGGAAGATTCCCATACTTCCCACACTACCCCTTTCAATTTCAACAAGAATCCAATGACTGGGATTGATTCAAATAGGCGAATGAGTGTCATTACGTAGTGTCATCGATGACACGAGTAGATTTAACTTGATCCTGACATAAAATCGTATAGTGTTATGAATGAGTTGAGTGCTTCATTTAATGTTATCCATATTGATGCTGAAGAAGCAATAAGTCAAGTGTCTTATTTCGAAACATCGGTGTCTGCCATTGAAGATGACAGTGTTCCATGTGAGTTGAATTTTCACCTCTTTCATATACCATATTCTGTAGCAATCCTGTGAATGATATCTGATTGGAATTCATAACCAAAAAGTTTATCACTTACCAACAAACCAACCAACCAACAAACATCCATTTTTATGTATAAGATTCTGTAGCAATCCTGTGAATGATATCTGATTCGAATTCATAACCAATGTTTGAAGTATATAAACTGAATAGAAAAAGGATGTAATTTATTCATATAAATGTAAATATCCATCTGCTTGGGTTTTTTATGTTAACTCTTCCATTTTAATTTTTACTTAGTATTTTTTTCATCGCATATCATTGAAAGGCTCTCGTATCTTAAACCGAAAGTTTGTTGCCGAAACACATATGTATATTTAGAACGAAGCCACTCGGGATGTTTCGAGTAGGTACTCATTGTTAACGCTTTATCGGTTAAGACAAGGGCCGAAGTGGTTGATCCTTTTTTACTAAATTTATGACTCGACCTTTTGTCAGTGAGAAAGTTACCTCAAACACATTTCTCAGACGATGCATTCATTCAGCTCTGAGAACTATTTCTTATTCAGGGGTTTCTGCCGAGAACTAAACCCGCTCTACAGTCTCCTCGCTGATCGAGAAAATACTTAGCATTAGTTCCTCGAGGTTACCTTCTAATTTTATTTTTTCGTGTTAAGTTTGTCATTGTGTTCATAAATTTTATTGTTGAGTACGCTGAATAATATTTCACCTATCAATAGTCCCGACACCATGATCTACATATCTTTGTAAATAGTTTATTTAGAAAGCAATTTCTATCTTCTTTTCTTGGAAGTTCCCACACTTTTTTGTATAAAGATGGAGACGTAGAAAGCCAAAACCTGTCTGCCCCAAAAATTATTCTCCTAAAAATATGCACCTACCTTTATACCCAACAAAAAAAGAGACAAAATGGTTCAGGCTTCCGCGGTCGAAGTTTTCAGTGTAACTTTTTTCCGGGTCTGAAGGCCGTCGATTTTTGGAATTTCTTCCTGACGTTTCGCTGGCCTGAGTGGCTAGCCTCTTCAGAAGTTCATACATCCTGAGTTAATATCTCCGATGACTAGATATTACGGCTGCGTAACACTTATTTAGGTAATTTAGTATGTTGATACCTAGACCTGCCTTAGGTAAATTACGTAAAGCGTGTTTATGTCGATTCAGGTAGTCTGGTCTAATAATATCTACCTGTATCTGGATTTGGTAAATCGTCAATAACGTTCATTGATCCTTTTCTACCTGCCATCATGCTATTTGCTATTCTTGATCTTCTTAGAATGGGATTCCATATTCGATTGAGGTTCACAGCTTCTTCTTTTCTGTTGAACTTGCCTCCCGTACCAGTTGGCTATTGTATCCCTGTTTGGGGGCAATGAGTTCCGTGTTTTCAAATAGAATCCTGCGGTTTCCTTCACTGAGTGCATGTTCTGCCACAGCTAACTTGTCCGTTTGGCCTAGTCTGCAGTTTCTTTCATGCTCCTCGACCCTTATTTCCATGGATCTTCTGGTGGTTCCGATGTACATCTTCCTACAAGTGGTGGGTTTGAAAACCGTTTTAATGTTGTGTTTTCCCATGAGTTTACCGATTCTATCTATGACCCTAGGGATATAAGGAAGATATACGCATGCAACCATCTGAGCCTTCTTCCCATTTTGAGCCGTAGAACTATTCAATTTCATGGCTTTGTTGATCTCGGGTACACTGTATCCATTCGACCTCAAAAACACTCGAAGATGTTTCGGTTCTTCCTCTAGATGTTCTAGTCCACATATTTTTTGAGCTCGTTCCGTTAGAGTGGAGATGACTCCTCTCTTTTGACTAGGGTGATGGTTTGATAGTGCTTGCAGGTACCTATCCTGTGTTTTCGATACACTTTTTGGGTTAGTCTAGCACCACATCGTTCGATTTGTACATCTAGTAATACTATCCCTTGCCTCAGTTCAGTCTCCATGGAGAACTCGATGCTTCGGTTCTGAGTATTCAAGTGATCTAGGAAAAGGTCCAGAGCGTCCCTTCCATATTTCCAGATGACGAAAAGGTATCATCCACGTAACGTAGTCAGTTTTAATTCACCTTTGACAGTGACACCTAAAGACAAAAGGGACCCACCATCAGCAGCAGAGGTTCATCCCATACCGTGCACTTGTGGAATGGTATACATCGGAATCACCAAAACAAGGAGAATGAAAGAAACTGCAGACTAAGCCAAACGGACAAGTCATCTGTGGAAGAACACGCTCTCAGTGAAGAAAACCGCAGGATTCTGTTTGAAAAGACGAAACTCGTTGCCCCCGACCAGGAATACCATAGCCGACTGATACGGGAGGCAACAGAAAAAAAAACTGTGAATCTCAATCGAATATGGAATCCCATTCTGAAAAGTTCAAGTAAGCAAACAACATGATGGCAGGTAGAAAAAGATCAACGAACGTTTTTAACAATTACCAAATCCATGTACAGGTATTATTACACCAGACTACCTGAATCAATATAAACACGCTTTAGGTAAATTACCTGAACCAGGTACAAATATCAGAACACCAAATTTCCTGAGGAGTCAACATAAATACGCGTGATGCAACCGTAATATCCAGTCATCGGAGATAGTTACACTGAAAATAAAGAGAATATTCAGTCATTATTTTTTATAGAACTATACCAACAAATTCACTAGTATTATAATTCTTTAACGAGTTTAAGTAATAACCATTTTGTTCAATCTGTCTTTTTCAAATCACCTACACACTAGTAATAAATGTCTAATATGATATGAAAACATATTTTCCATACTTTCTGAATATCATTTTGAGAAACTAGGTTTTTATTTGTCTCTGATCAATTACTACTCCAAAAATATCATTGGTTCATTAAAATTTTGCGTATTACATCGCTTTCAAGAGATTTTTTGATCTTGAACTTTTATATACATATAGTAGTTGTATGGTAATACTAGACATTTGTTTCCATATAAATAACTTGCACATGAGTAAGCGAAGCAGGTTTTCATACATACTATGTACTATCATACATACTATGTTTCTATCAATAGTATGGCTGAAGAGAACAGCCAGTGTCTTTGAGGGAAGAACTGTGAAAAGAGTTAGCGGTTGCTTTAGTAGCTCTATTACACTGCAGAAAAAGTTGCATTACACCGTAGAAAAGTTTATCCGTTGATGATCCATTTCGATGACACACTGAAGTCTTTCTGATTGGGTCGTAAGGCTCGGTTTATTTTGGCCTCGCTGTACCCATTTCCCCATAAGCTAATCGAAAATATATGGTGGCAAAACAGGGGTAGTATTTAGCCTTTTCTATGTGACACTTTTTTGCAAATAAGAAAATTTAGACAAACGTTATAAATTGTTTTTATAGGCAAATGTTTCCTTTCAATAACACAAAGAAATTTTTGTGAACTCATGAATTCTTTGGAGAATATCAGAAAAACACAATGAAAATGCGGACGTAGAAAACCCGATTCCACTCAAAATGTCAAATTGAACAGCTTCCATCTTCAAAAGTAGAAATAAAATAATATGTCAAGTATCAAAAGAGTTTTGAAACAATTGGCGTAGTAGAAAATATCAAACTTCGCCCTACCTTGTTGTGAAATTTGAATTGATTTTATTTCAATATTTGCCTCTCTTTTTTTGCAGGAAGGAGATCGTCTCTACGTAGGGGCTCCTGGAAGTTACTACTGGCAAGGTAATACAGCTGAATTATCTTACTGATTTTTTTACAGGCTTCTAGACATCTTAGTGCGATTACCAAACGTTCGAAAAAAATGACTTTGTCGAACCTTCCTTCTGTTTCAGGCCAAATGTATTCGATTGATGCTCACGCCACCTTTAACTATACCCCTGGATATTTTGGAAGTCCAGGCTATGGAGCCAAAGGTACCCCTCCAAAAAATATGGAAGATATTTTAATCATCTCACACAAAGTTAACAAAAAATAAACATACCCTAATGAAACAGTAATTGGTGCAGGACAAAATTACTTAGGAATAATGAAATATCAATAACTAATCATAACGTTGATAATAAGCGATTAATATTTACTAAATTATAACATTGCATACATCTGAGGGTGCTTTTATGTTTTAGGTACACTCGTATGGGTGGTATTACTGATTACCAACCTGTATGATGTACCTGATTAGTATAAGTAGCTTTAGTTTTGAATAGTCATTAGTTTTATCTTCCTCTTGAAGATGATCACTTGGTGATCGAAACACGTGTCGAGGTGTAAAAATAACGATTTGGTGTTGGGAAAAAACTCCAGTAATATTCAACATCATTTTAGTGTTTACTTTTTATTACTATCATACGGGTTTTGATGAAGAAACTTCTGAGGAGATTCCGAATATTTGCTGCCGTTTGATTCGGACTCTCAGAGACATTTTATGAGATAATAAGCATTGCTTACATTAGAAAAATCAGTGAAAATTCAAGATAATGTACCCGGCACTGTCGAAATACCTTTTTGCAGTCATAATTAGCTATTAAGTGAATATGTAGGTTGAAGTTGGGAATGTCTGATGTTATGTTCTGCATACTGGAATATTCAAATTGCCCGATATCGGAGTGAGGATATGGAATATAATGCATAAAATGCATAAAATGTATTCAATGTATTTACTTAACAATTAATGAAGTTCTGACAAATTTTATGAAATTGGTCCAAAGTAGTAACAATGGGTTGCTTTTTAGTGAATTTCAAAATTAAAAACAAATTTTTTCCCGCAATATCAACCTCAAATTGGAAATGTCTGATGTTCCGCATACCGGAATATTCAAATTGACCGATATTCGAGTAAGGAAATGGAATATAAAATGCATAAGATGTATTTAGAAAAGAATTCATAAAGTACTGACGAATTTTATAAGATTGGTCCAAAATAGTAACAAGGGGTTGCTTTTTAGTGAATTTCAAAAAATAAAAACAAAAAATGTTCATGTGAAATTTCAACCTCAAATTAGAAACGTCTGATGTTCCGCATATCGGAAAATGTATTTACAGAACAATTGATAATATAACGACAAATTTAAGGAAATTGGAAACAAATTTAAGGAAATAGTAACAAGAGGTTGCTTTTCAGTGTGTTTCTAAAATGAAAACAAGTTTTCATCTGTTTGGATCAGTAGCCATTTCGTTGCGTTTTTACTACTTTATTGACTTAATTATTTTGAATGCACAAACTGACGCATGTGTGAATTTTGCAATATTCAACAAAACACCACTGATCTTTCCCTATATCAAAGCTCTAATGTGAACGGCACATGAAAACAGATAATTAAGTTTTGCTCTGATCCACATATTGCAACTATGATTAGATATGAAACAGTATATTTGGTGGGGACAAATTCTAATGCGCCACAGTGGATGTCTAATCAATTAATTATAGATGGAAAAGCACTCTGTTCAATCAATAATGAAATTTAGTGATAAATTTTGAATTTTCAACAAAGGTCTGAATTTATTAATTGGAGAAATCTGTTATGGTTAATTTGCTGCATTTTGAGTTGCTACTCATGATTTTCTGTCCAACAGATGATCAATTCAAAAGTTATATAACGTTTACAACTTAATTTAAAAAAAGGGTTGGAATTGGATCGATAGAAGTTGTCGGTCGGTCAATTGTCAAAATTTGTTACTCTCTTAGTAAAACGACTATCTTGATTAAATGTGAAAGAAGCCAAAAACTTGACTTCTACGGAAAAATAGCTTTATAACACAATGAAGGTCAATAAACAAAAACAAAACACACAACAAAAAAGTTACTTCATCGGCGATATAAGATGTGGATTGTAATATGAATTAATATCAATTAACAAAACAAATTGTTACTATTATGCGAACTACCATATATTCAGCTATAACAAAATTATTGTTTAGTCCAGTACTCAGATGGATGTCTGACGAAGTAAACAAAAAAGGCGACAATCTGTCAAGATACTTAGCTGAACGTAGTTGTAATCTGTGCCCTGATCGTTGCTCTCGTCGACGCTCTTGTCATTTATCGCTGCTCCAACATAAACGCACTCTAACCCATGGGTAATATCATTCGTGGTAGGTCTACATATTGATTAAATACATTCGTCTCTTCTTCTAAGAATATATAGTTTTCAATGACTTTGTTTTTATAAGTTTGAAATTGCACAATGGTACTTATCAACTTTAGGAATTCAATTTTGTTTGTTTTTCATGTATCAGAAATGAATATGAGTTTGATTATAAGTTTTGCATTCATTGCTGTTTTGAAATTTGAGTTGAATGATTCAAAATCATGAAACTACTTCTGAAATTTTCTATAGGAAAATATATAAAGATCAATTTTAAAAGGGGTCTGCATTCAATCATATCAACTTGCCGATTTAAGATTTTCTGTATTTTATACTAATCTACTAATTATCATAAACAATTCGATGTTAATTATATAATTGTTTCCACAATTTCATATTGATTAATATCTAGCTTTTTCTGAGCTTACATAATTTGATATACGAGCTTTGCTCTAAGAATATCTAGACAGAAAAATCTCTTGCAAAACTAAAATTTCAAAGAGGTTGGTAGTCTGCTCGACGAATTAGGAACAATAATCACGCTGAATATAAGGCCTATCACCATGGTAGTCGATAAATTTGACAAAAATTAAAAACCAAAAAGTGTAAAGTAAAATTGGATATTGAAAAATAATGATATTTTTGTTTCACTTCAGTACAAGTATTACTTAACTAGGTTGGATAAGAAGAAAGTGTTGTTTATGGTTTTTCAATTTCAGTTTTCTTTCATAAACAATGATTTCTTATCACTATTCCATTTTAAAAATTTGCTCATTTATCTCAACCGAAGTATTTCGGTTTAATCAGGTATTATTTGACAATGAAAAAACATCATTATTGAAATCTCCTTCTGAGAAGAGGAACTCTTTTTCGATAAAATCGTGTTTGAAATATTGATAAATTGTTTTGGTCTTATCATGGTAGGTATAATAATCGAACAGATAGCTAGTTGTACATGCAATGTCATATTTTCTAAAAAGGGCTCATCAGAGAAAAATCACATGTGATATTGAAAAAATGAGGGTCTGATATTGATTCACCGAAATCAATATTTTTCAAATCATAGTGAGAGTCGTAACCCTCACTATGAGGAGTTTGGGGGAAACATTTTAACGCAATAGAATGTAATTTTGTTATACTGTTTATTATCACAGCTATAATGGAAATTATTAATTTCTCATATGCGTATTCGTCAAATAGAATATTGAAACAGATTCAGTCAAGGAGTCTGATGAAAATGAAATGCGCATTAGGTATATTTTTTTTACCTTAAACCGGGTGAAAATTGAAATTATAATCGAGAAAATATATGCTTCTCTTCATTTTTTAAACTTGTCAATTATTCCATGAGTAATGAAAAGTATACATTTTGATTTCTTTATATTATTTTCTCCAAACAGATACGAAGACCGTCTGGAATAACTATGTCTTCTTATAAATATTTTGAATTATTTTTCACGCCAAACATTTACAGATGAAATTGAAATAAATATCGTCTGAAAATCTAAGTACCTACCGCATCAATATTTGAAATATTTTGAACAATTGATTTCCAAAGTAACAAGGTTGATGATCATGAATGCTGAGGTTCAATATCCGAGAATTGCTAAACAAATAACATACCGCTTATCAACAAGCCACTCCATCTATCCTAAAAACTTCCTGAACTTATCAATGTATTTTCTTTTTTTTAAATCGATATGTTAATAAACTTGTATCATTATCGTTTGACAAGTTCAATGATAACTCCTGATTCATTGTGCTGTTAATTTAGTGAAGTCGAAGGAATGCCTTGGTGGCGACGTCATGATGCCATAAACATTTTGTTTTCAATTGACTCGAATCATTTTCAATTCATAGCGATGAATTAATTTGTCATGTGCCAAATACTTGACCTGCTATAAAGGCGATAAAATAGCTTATTAAAGAGTTCAATTTAATTTCCCGGTGCATCGGTTGAAGTGGTTAATTGAAACAAATTGAAAAATTGTGAAGGGTTTCATTGTTTCGACATCGAAGTTGGTGTATAAAAATAATACTTATTATGCCATTGAATCCGTGCTGAGATCGCTAGTAATGGATAGGTTGACCTCAAGTTTAACTAAATTGTCTGAGCCCTTATGTCTAGTATATTTTAGTATGTTTGCAGTTCGTTATGGATCTTTCAATTGCTTCGTCTCACCTCACAACGCAATGTTGACTGCCAAGGTAGGTTATGTTAGGTCAGGACCAAAGTGAATGGGGCTATTCGACCATCCACCGCAACCCGCAAGGGTTCATTGTGGCTCACGCACAGCTTCCTAACGAAGACGATTAATTTGTATAGTGAGTGGTCTTTCAGGTCGGATGGTGAAAGTACGGCTCTGGCGAACTCTAAAGAACGGATTCAGTCCCCAGCGGGGCAGGCACAGAGTATGTGCTCTGTTGTTTCATCATTTTCCAAACAGAGGTGACACAGACTGTCTTATGACATTCCGAATATCCGCAAATGATGATTCAAATGGCAGTGACCTGTAAGAAACCTGTTATATATCGTAGGTCATCCCTACTCTATTCCAACAACTGTTTGGTATCAAGCTGCGAAGGATGAATAAACGCTTTGGAGTGAGCCGATCCTGGAAGATTCTGCCAGAAGTCTATACATCTTCTTGCCATCCAGGTATTCACTCGTTGTTTGGCGGAGCCTAAAGCGATACCAAGGACAGGTTCTGGTCCAATGAAGCTGCTTGCAGCACCCTCCTTGGCAAGGGAGTCAACAGCCTCATTGCCTTCCAGGCCAGTATGGCCACGAATCCAGACCTATCGAGGAGAGTTGTTTTTGGCAACTTGCT